CGCCCATCAGAATTTTGATATCGCCAACTGACGTCTTGTCCAGTGTTGATTGAAGTTGTCTGTAGAAATCCTCCTTTTTCTCTTGCTCTGCATTATTTGTAGGTGCATAACATTGTATGATTGTGACCTTTCTTCCTTTTGAGTTGAATCTTGCTGTCATGATCCTGGAGGAGATTGGTTCCCACTGCATGAGAGCCTTCGATGCTCTTGAGGACATCATGATAGCCACTCCCTCAGTGTGCTCGTGGTTGGCGTCTGGGTGACCGGAGTAGATTATTGATTCTCCAGTTGACAGTTTGGAGAGTCCACTCCCATTCCATCTGCTTTCGCAAATCCCAAGCACTTCGATGTTATACCTTCTCATCTCCCTTGCAATCTGGGCTGCCTTACTGGGTTCAAACATCGTGCGGACATTCCATGTCCCCACGTTTACTTTCGCTTTCATCGAGAGAAGACACATCGGCCAATTGGCTTCCCGAAGGCTTTCACCAACTGGCGTCATTTCGCCTCTCCGATTCCAGCGGGGAATAAGTTTGTTTTCATTTTTTATATTTTGTTTGTGCTTTGAAGTTTCTTTAGCGGTTAGATTTGTTTTACGGGGTAGGGTTGCTAGCCCTATGCCCAACCTTCCCTCTTTACCCGGGCTTAGGACCGGCTAGTAACTAGTAAACTAGTTAACCAGGCGAGACTACGAAGTCGGAATGGTGAAATACATCGTCAATGAATCAGTACTTACAAACTGTTACGTTCTCGAAGCGCTAATGGTATAATGTATATATTCCGAAACGAATATAATACACGCGCTTAGCTGACAGCTAACTTGGTACGAAAGAGTCACTGACTGCAACCCCGAGACGAATAAAGAGAGGAGCGACGCTGGCAGATGGAGACTGTATTACTTCGAGAATATAATACAATGAATCAATCCAAAACACATGAATAAGTATACACATGAAAAATGATCTAGTCCGCAATTGAAGAAATTCGCATAGTAAGAGTAAAAGTTAACCAATCAGCGAATTACATGACAATGCGGGCCGAAATAGACTATTAGTCATACCGTAAAAATGATGGGATAAATGACACGTTAAAATGTTCGGATCGATAACAATGTCTTGGTTGTATTGTGTTCTCTGAGCTGGGTTGTTTAATCGTGAAGCTTTCATCGCCTTGCTAGACGACATCATCAGCACTAACTTCAGTATGAAGTGAGCTGTCAATATCTCTCCGTGAGTGATTTAGTAGCTTGCTCTGAAGATGTGGTCTGTGATTGGTTGTTTCCTTCGACTGTTGTGTCATTGATTGTATAGACTTTCCTGTTGGCTGTTCCTCTGCTTCACCTCTGACCTTTCTGTCGTTTATCGTTTTGTAAAACAAACAATGTGAGCGAAGAAATATTTCTTTTCAATTAGTTCCTCATCAATGGCTCTTCACTAATATAGCATTTTCAAACGTAAAATTACACACCAATCTAGTGGTGAGAGTTGTTCAATGAAAGGTTATCAATCTCAAAGTATCAAGAAGGTGATAATTGATCAGGTAATTAAGACAGTTAACTAAAGCAAAGATTAATTATCGTAGAAAGATTTTGTGAACAGGTTCTTACATAATTGATATTTTGATAATGATAACTAAAGAGCAAAAATGAACTGTTACGTAAAATGGTAAATTGTTGACGGTAATTAGAGACAGTAGGGGGAGAGAAAGATGGTTAAGTCTGTAATAATAATAATAATAATAATAATAATAATAATAATAATAATAATAATGGAGCTATTAAAATATTAGTTATAGTGAATTGTGTGGTGGATGAAATGAAGAGTCTTGTTGTAATAAATGAGCTATACAGATGGCCAAGGCAAAGAAAGAGGCTGTACGAATCTCTTCTGAACACACAGACTTGGCTTGTGTAGGTGGATTCCTATGGCTTCTGCTGTATGTAAAAGACGAACTCGTAGAGGATGGGTGAGGTGAGAAGGAATGTGATAAATAACTTTAAAGGCATTATGAATGTTAACTCGGTGGCCGGTGTCAATCAGATGAGAGAGTATTGAGCTTCGTGTCAATCTGGTTTCCCCCTTACTTAGCCATGAAGGATGATGCTCGGCGATTCGACGACGGACTTGCCTAACTGTACGTCCAATGTAACTAGCTCCACAGGAGCAGTTGAACTGGTAAATGCACATAGAAGAGAAGTCAGGGAGTCTGTCTTTAGTTCGTGTGGTCATCATCGGCCGGCTGTAGAAAACACAACATAACTTGGCGGCATTAAATGATCTTCTTATGGCATTTCTTAAGCGTTGTGTCACAATTTCGCTGATGATGTCACCTCGAAATTGTAGTCTTAGGAACAATGGTTTCTTGGAGACTGTAGGCATTCTGGTTTTCATATTGGATGTGTTCATATTTTTAGCCAGGAACGTTTCTGGATATCCATTACTACTGAGTAGATCGTGGATAATTTGAAGCTCTTCGTCAAAACTATCATCTGAACAGATGAGTCTCGCCCGATGGACCAAACATTTAACGAGATTTCGTTTATATTGCAAGGGGACGAAACTCAAGAAGTGGGTGTATTGACCTGTTGACGTTGGTTTCCGATACACACTTCTTTTTATAGTTCCATCCACCTTCCTTGTCAATCGGACATCTAAGAAGGTGATGCTGTCGTCACTTCCTGTTTCAATAGTGAAGGTTATTGCTGGATGGACGCCATTGAATTCATCCAGTATGATCCTTGCATCGTCCTCGTTATTCACAATCAAGAATGTATCATCTACATAACGGCAATAAAATTCTAACCCGCTTATGATGCTTTCCAGAGGGCCATTTTCTAATTTTGCTAAGAAGAAATCCGCTAAGATTGGGCCTAGTGGTGACCCCATAGCGACACCGTCTGACTGTCTATAGAATTCCTTATTGAAGAGAAAGTGTACATTCATTGTACATCGTAAGAGAAGCTCTTTCAAGGTGGATGCCGTAATTCCAATTTCTATGTTTCTCTTTTCCAGTTCGCTACATATGAAGTCCACTGTTTCCATCAGAGGGACATTTGTGAATAGGGATGATACGTCTAAGGATATCATAGACTTATTATTCACATTCAAATCTCTTATTTTATCGATAAAGTGAAAAGTATCTTTGACGCTATGCTTTACAACCTCCTTATGCAATGGTTTCAAGAGTTGTACTAGCCATTTCGCCGTCGCATGGTATGGAGAGTTTGACATGTCAAGAATCGGTCGGAGTGGTAATCCATTCTTATGTACCTTTGGTAAACCACACAACCTCGGTGTTACTGTGCCAGTTTATCATTTTTCTTATTGGTTGATAGATCGGGTCTATGTCTATACATCTATTGATTGCTGACTGACCTGAATGCCAAGCTTCTAGAAATTCTCAGATATTTTTTGTTTTCTCTGTCCAAAATTTCTACATTGTCAATAACTGTAGTCAGCACTACATTGAACAAAGCGGCCACCCTCTTCGCCTTCGTCTACATGAACACCAATTGGCTATTAAACGCCACAACATTTCGTCACTCATTCCAATGCATGTGGATAACTATGGACATGAATTCAATTTCGACAATGTAGGAATTTTGGACAGAGGAAACAAAAAATATCAGAGAATTCCTAGAAGCTTGGCATTCAGGTCAGTCAGCAATCAATAGATGTATAGACATAGACCCGATCTATCAACTAATAAGAAAAATGATAAACGACAGAAAGGTCAGAGGTGAAGCAGAGGAACAGCCAACAGGAAAGTCTATACAATCAATGACACAACAGTCGAAGGAAACAACCAATCACAGACCACATCGTCAGAGCAAGCTACTAAATCACTCACGGAGAGATATTGACAGCTCACTTCATACTGAAGTTAGTGCTGATGATGTCGTCTAGCAAGGCGATGAAAGCTTCACGATTAAACAACCCAGCTCAGAGAACACAATACAGCCAAGACCATCCACCTAAGCTACAAATATTCTCCATCATTTCTATAACAATGTTTTATACAAAGCTGGGGCATCACAACACAAACCAACAATAAAATTACTGTTGACTTTTCATAAATGACCCACTTCAGATGGATTTTTCGAAATCATCATGGGAAACCATGATTGGTGGTGTCAATCAAGCTAGTTGTGAGGACAGAAACTAGCCTACGACCCTGGATAGTGATTGTAGCATGTAGTGAGTTAACATAAATAGACAAATGTTAATCATTCGATCCCAACTTGCTGGTTGAATGGTGAGGTACTCGCCGCGAGATATGACGACCCTCAGCTCAGTCCCTTATGGGGTCGTGACCGCGACATGCTGAAGAGTCCAAAACTGGGACAAAAACAACTATCTGGAGATGGCTAGTTTTCCAACTGATGCCGAAATTTGTAATGGGTAACAACAACGTTTTAGGGAGTCTCTTGATGCCACTGACATTTAATGATAGGCCTAAATCCAGATCTGTTTTTGAAAGCGCAGCTCACATTATTGCTAAATAATAAATGTGTGATATAAAAATGTGTCGATTTGTTTAAAAATCCAAGTGGACTTAGATCGTTAGCAATCTGTACATCCATAAGAAGAGATATCTGCAGACTATCCTGAGATCGTATTATGGCAAGCTACACCCTATAACTGAATTCCTTTCTTATCTGTTTTTGCTCATTGTATAAACCGACTGGCTTCTTCAGCTAACACTCTTAATAAGATATACCACTGATCATGATGCATGAAAATATCGATATGGAAATTCACTGAACTGTTAACTGTATGCTTTATTCTTTGGATTTAAAATTAGGTAGTTTGATTTCAAACACGTGATAACGAACTGCATTTTTGAGGTGGAGAAACTCATGCTGCAACAGATTTAGGTTAACGTATGTGGTCCTGTAGCTGTAACAAAACTTTCATATACACTGAGTGTAGAAGTTTAACTACGTCTATTTAAGAAAGAATAAAGCAAGTATATACAAGTTTATTGACAGATAAAGATCCTTATTCGTGTAATTCTTTAAGTTTCTCTTGATTATTAATTCCTAATCGGTTGCGTGCAATTTCCAGGGCAAGAAACTGTATCCTAGGAACTTTAAAAACAAGTTTAATCAAGTGATTTCTTACCAATACATGTGTTTTCAGGACAATTTCCTCTTGAAGCATCAAGTCTCAATAAAGTTCCAAGATTGAAATCTTCCACTCTCCCTTCAAATTGATTACAGAATGTTCGCCATTTCTGCAAGATTTCAAAATAATACGAGGAAAATAAACTAGATTACACGAGAAATGTTAGTTAACATGCGATTCACTGAGTTTTTACTATCCCACATTAGATACGGTAGATAGATAGCGAGCGCGTAATAGCACGCTATTATTTCATATCACTAACATAACATAGAATGAAACCTATAAATCCAGTCAAATGAAATCTACAGGGGGCCTGAGATTAATGTGTAAAGAACGAAGTCACCATACCTCAAGTCGGCACGTCAAAATAAGAGAAATAAGGAAGAAATCACCAACAGTAACAAAATGTAAAAAAGGCGGGATGAAGCAATGACGAAATTTTGTATGATGACTAAGATATAACTCAGACCGATTCTGAGCCATATCACCTAGAGTCGCCAGTCACCGATCTCACTTTTCAGGGAGGCCCAACCTGTAAGTCTATATTCACAAATACGGTTGACATCAATAGTTACAGACATCATGCACTGCCATGATTTCATCCGGTTCAGTCTGAACGTACTTCAGTTAACGTTGCATGATGAGACAGATGGTGACTGGGTATGCGTAAAACATGTCTTCTGCGTAAAACTGCACTCCTGACCTTTCCGTTACTGACGTGGCAGGACAATGACACGCGATCTATGCTGGGAAACAAATAATGCGTGCACCCATAGAGACAGACTGACACTCATGAGAGGCCTAGCAATAACTTGGGTGACTTCCAAGGAGAACCTTGCAATGACTGAAATAACCAACTAGGCTCTTTTATTCTATGCTAAACTAGTTTTTAAATGGAATGAAGAAAATCAATTGTTTATTTTTGTAGTTGTTAGGGTGAAATTTAAAACAGTTGGATAACTAGTTGTAGATATAATTGAACTGCATGTTTACACAGTGATAAGTTTTTCAATTTTGGCGGTATTTTGAGCAAAGTTACTGTTGATGATCACACTATTATTCGGAATTTTACTTGGACACTTCCTAAAATGTATTATATTCAAGCATGTTTATCTCGTTGGTTTGTATATACAACACAATGATCCATATAACTGACAGCTTTGATGTACCACTTTCAATGTAGGTGTTACCGGTGAAACGTATGAATGTAGATACAGTTATCAATCGCTCTTTCCATATTAGTGTTGTTTCAATGGATAACTTGTTTTTCACCCCATGCGTTGACCGCTATGAATCAACTTTCTTTGACGTGTTTTTATTCTTTTGTCCAAGTGGGTAATTCAATACAGTCATTAACAAACAGAACAATGCACTGCATAAACAAACTAACAAAACGAATATATAAATATATATCAACAGTGAAAGCTTATCATTGTAAACATTCAACTGAAACTTGTTTTATAATAAACTGATGTACTTCAGAATACTTAAACCCGTCACTGCTATGATGCCTAGTGACCTCATATACCCCTCACTAACTGTAGATTACTCATTATACGGTATGTATGTTTTGTAAAATTGTTACTTGATCAAACGATAGGATTGATTTGTCAGAAGTCTTGGTAAAAACGCTGTTTGGGTCTTACGGATAGGCATTACTGAAGAGGAGATAAGCAGTAAGTTTATTGACTTTAAGGTTGCCCTAAAACCTACTGAAACATTCAATTACGTTTATTTATTTCATGAAGAAACTACTTTCTGACCTTAATAGAGTAAACCAGTTAGTTACTTCAGTATTTCCCAGGATAGCCTTTAAATTTCCGTCTGATGAATACATATAACTCGGCAATAACATTTTGTATAAATGTTAGCCTATTCATTGGGACATATATTACATATCTGTTGTCACCATCTGCTTCAATACAATGGCATCAGTTCATGAAGGTCTTGACTGCTGGTTTAAGCCGTACAAGGAGATGTAAACTTTCTATTTGGGGTCCACATGACAATACGAACTAGTTGTTCGTGACTGTAAGGGAAATAGGTCTCACTGGAGTAACTGTACCTACTCATTATCTTCATCTTCATACTAAATTAAGCAGATTTTTATTTCTCCTTGCTATTTTATCTCGATTTCTACCACTTTCGACTGCTTTCTTTCTTTTTTATCGTAGTCCATATTCGCTTGATTTGCGGAAATGAGGTGTGACAATTTGAAATATTATGGAGTAATACCAAGTGTCATGTTGATACTATCTGTTTAACCCTTAGCCTACCCGTTGAGTGAGATTTTATCAAACCGCAGTCAATGAAATATTACACTTTTAACATTACAAAATACAAATTTTAGTGTTGTTATACAGACTTGGTCAACACTTCCTTCTCACCTTTTATTATACAAAATAAGGTTTTACAAACTCATTTAAGAACATCCAAAGAAAGTATGTGGTTCAGACAAGACAATCAAAATATGAAACATTAACAAACACTTCAGTTGTCTTCCCCTCAAATTACCAACAATATATCAGTTATTTTTACAAAAATACACTTCATCTAATACGAACATCTCTTGAATATCTTGTTAAATTCTTAAATTAGAATTGATAAGCTATTTATACTCATGTAGTTGACAGTAAGGTTGAAAGTCAGCATAAATCTTAGTGTAAGTAGACTCATATATTCATTACACGTGACTCCAAGGTGTATTTAATACACAAGTGATCCTTCGGTAATTATTACACCAAGTATTAAACTTCTGAGGTTGTGGTCAAAATTAATGCTGATTTAAATGTATACATCAATGTACAAAAAGTATTGCTAATTGTTCTGAAAAATTTTCTTTCGCTTTAGATGCATCACTATATTGAAACAAAAAAGGATTTATTTTCATTCACTTACCCAACTTAGCAACAAGAATGTACATTAAATAATTTTTATTATTTCTCAGCGCTTAAAATGTGTTACAGTCGATCAACACTTCAAATCGATACTATAGATAATATATGATGTTTGATATGAAAACTACCTGGGTTCAACTGGAAAACACTTTTTATTACATCAAATTAAAATTCATACATGGATGCTGGCTGATAGATTAAATAATCCCATCCGAGAGACACAAAAGATACAATCAAAAAAGGCCTAGGAATCTCTTTTTCTTAACCCCCATTATTTTGGTGATACAGATCTCATAATGTGAATGTGATTACGAATTCAGAAGAGTCAGGTTTATGGGAGCTTTATGGTTAAACTACTGACCTACCGCGATCTAATCAGTTAGTTAAATTTCACCTTCTTCGAACTCATTGGAATATTTACACATAAATAAAAAAACCCAGAATCTCGTACACACGTTAATCGGTTCAAGTTACCACACTTCACAATAGTACACAAAGAACAGGTGGGTAGAAAAAGATTGATATCAAAGTACACAAAGTTGCATGAGAGAATCAGCAATTTGAAGACAAAGGTTTGTGCGAATATTCAAGTTTTAGAGGACGTCAAAGAGTGAATATATCGGCGCCATTATGACTGATTTGTAGCTATGTCACCAAGAGTTCTCAACCACTGATTCTAATGCAACATCCCCTAGGGTAGCAAATCGAGGTAGGTGGTGACTCAACTCGGCATGTGCAACACATGTACGAACTACCTCAGTTGATGAAGGTTCACAACCTCGTCAATTGACCCGCCTAGTTCCCTTCGTCTGACCTACACATTGCTCACAAAGTGATTCCACTAAACGCGAGCAGTGCTACGAAGACACCAATGATCAAAACCCTGTAACCGCTTCATGTCTTCTACTTTTGACGGTCATATCTCGCCACCACATAACAGGACAGAATGGATTGCAGCGCAGCAAACTCGTCCTTTGATAGATAGTCGAATATCTCGAACAGATGCAACTCCCTAAGTATGTGATGTGATTGACACATTCAACCGCTTTATCACCTATTATTAAACTGGGAGTAGTTGCAGATCAATCTTGGAGCAGCATGTTACTTATTTATTTACAGAGGGATCTCAATGAATATTCACAATGTTTTGCTTCGTAATATGGGTAGTAGCAAAGGATAACGTTCATACTCATGAATTGTTCCGCGATTAAAGAACGACTTGAGTGGAATGGTAAAAATTCTGTTGACTTGATAAAATCACTTTAGTTTGTAAGAAACTGGACTCAACAATGTTTTAATGACTGAAAACAGTTATTGTTTGAGGTTCTACTGTGTCGTACAGTCTCATCTAGTGGTGACAAAATTACAACAAAGTGATCTCAAAGTGCACATGGTTTACACATCGATGATCGGTGTGACAGTTAAGTCTTACTGCTAGTTGAGAATAGTTTCGTCTAGAATCAACGATTGTATAAAGGTCATTAACACTGCCAACATTACCATCGTTCAAATTGAGGAGGAATCTAAAAAAAAGTCAAAAACGTGTGTATGCCACCTTGATATATGGTCAACGTAGGACGATGGAAAAGAACTTTAAAGGAAGAATGAAACCATAGAATATCCAACGGTCGAAAACAAATTTTTCTATGATGAGTCAAATGAATGTATATCTTGAAATCCGTACTTGTGCACATCTGTGAAGTAGGCAATGAGCCACACCTATTGTATGAGGGTGAAATAATACTGCCTGCCTGTTCAAACCTCGGATGGTGGACTGGTGCTCGAACCCCTAGTCCACAGCTTGGAAGTTAACTTACTAAACCATAAAATCACAACTCCACCCAAAACACAACAATATGCAAAAGAGCAATGCATTCGAGGAGATATCAGCATTACCACTCAGCCCATCCAACCACAATGAAACGAGAGTTAACACAGGGTCATGAAAATAGGATATGCAGATTGACAACATGCTCTGGTGACGACCAACAAAAAGAGACGAATGTTTTATTCGCGAAGTTTTTAAACAATCAGTATCTAGAACATTCCATAAAAGATAATACCAAGGAGAAGAAACGAAAGTCAACAACAGAAGTATTATCATACGAAAAAGGTGTATTCTTCGGTATGCTTTGCACAAGAAGCCAGCAGGAGGAGTTTGGGAACGCAGTGGAAGCTTCCAACCCGTCGAGAAAAGAAACAATCAATAAAC